CGACGCTCTTCCGATCTCCCCAAAACCCCAAAACCCCAAAACTCCAAGTTTAAATTGCGTTAGAGTGCAATAAGAATGTATTATAAATTAATTGTGACATCCTTAGTAATAATTTAATTTTTTCCCAAAAAGTTACAAAGCTACCTTATGGTTTTGAGATGCACCGTCGATAATTGCAATAAAATTTTTTCTTGCAAGAAGACTCTTAAGGAACATAATAGAACTCACACCGGAGAGCGCCCTTACGCTTGGTAAGTCAACTTGATATTATTTCTCACATTTTATCATTAATATAAGATTCTTAACAATTTTAATAGCCAAGTTTGCAATAAAACATTTGCACAAAACTCCTCATTGCAAAAGCACAGAAGAGTTCATGATAAATTAAGACCATACTCTTGCAATTTCGAAGATTGCAAAGCTAATTTTTCCTAGGTAAGTTTCATGCCAGTTCTGGTCTCTGAAATGACGTATATTAAGTCCTTATTCGGATACCACTTAGTATATTATAATAAGGTTTCATGAACTCAATTTTTTTTTCAGATAAGCAACTTGATCAGACACAAAAGAATTCATTCAGGTGAAAAGCCATATAAATGTGAGTATTGTGATCGGCAATTCGCATCTGGTTCTAATTTTAAACAGCATTTGCAAATTCATGCCAACGATGTAAGTAAGATGGTGCAAATAACATATCTTGAGTCCTACGAATTCTTACTATTTTGATTTTCACTTTTCTAAAAATAAGTGCGAAAATTAAAAATAAGCTTTCAAATACAATCATTCAGATTATTTAAAGTTCTCTTTTAGGGTTCAAGAATCCAATACAAGTGCATTGTTGAAGATTGTGATAAGTTTTATTACTATTTCAGCTCACTCAAGAAGCATATCGAGGTTTTCCATCCTATTTAGTATGAGACCTTCTTAAATGATTAATCAAGTAAAATTTTTACCTCAAATTAGATATATAATTTAGACTTACCCTCGAACTTAAAGGAACAAACTTTGTGTAAAGAAGATTATAGCTCAAAGAGATCTAAAAAGAGCAAGCAGAAAGCTAAACACTAACAATAATAAAATGATAAGATTGAAGAGACATCTTAGATTTAAAATGCGGATTCATTATTGAGTAAAACGATTACAGCGAATTAAGAAATCTCATAATAATAATTACCTGAAAGTTACGATATTATGTAAAATCAGAGTAAATCGAGACCTAAAAATTCTAATTATAGCCTAAATATCTCATAATAATAGAATTAGATTAGCATCCAAAATTCATCGATAAATAAAATTGAAGAATTCGATAACATCTCCCTATCAAAATAATCAGGAGATTAAAATCATCTCAAGCAAGAAAATTGTCACGCTTTTAATATATCAATAACTAATATTGATGATCAAGTTTGTAAAATTCCATCTCCATAAAATATGACAAATTAATCCCGAGAGTCACATAATTTCACTATACAAAACAATTAACTTCTTTTGCCTATCTATTAAATTGATGGAAGATATGTCAAGCAAGAGTATATTTCAGACCAATCTGATATCCATACCCTTAAAAGCGAATTTCTAAACCTATGAAGCCAAGATGTATTACAATATTAGTTGGACATACAAAACAAAAGATTTAATCATTTCGGTACACCAAATCAAAGATTAATTCATAATCCAGGCATGGTTAGCTTCTTTCCTCAAGAACCTAAGCAAATAGCTTCACAGTATTTCAATGCAGAAATTTCAAAAAACAATATTACATCATTTGGAGTCTAAAGATAAAATAAAGAAGAATTCGCACTTTAATAGCCAAATATTGATTTTTCAAGTACTATGGTGGACTAAAATAAAAATATTCCTTTTGGAAATTTTTATAATCAGCAAAAAATTGAATAAAATTCGGATCTTTTTGACAGCTACTATCCTTGTTTAGCATAAAAAATTCCCTAAAATTGCGCAGATTAAGAAAGTTATGCAAATGTTGATTATGATTAGTCTAAGTACTTTGAGAAACAATAAATAGAAAAGCATGGTATGGTCTCTCGTCACAATTATTTATTCGAATAGCAAACACATAATACCCAAAACCCATTAGAAACTCATCAAGATACCAGATTATATGAGAGAACAATGCCAGACAAGAGTTCTAGTTTAACTTAAGAACTTAAATTTGATAGTTATGGCTGCTTTATTGATCTATATTAAAATCAGCATTTAATAAGCAAAGATCAAATTTTAATGAATCACTCCTTAAGTAGTAATTTAAATCTATAATTGAGGGATTCCTTTACAGTGGATTAATTAAAAGATTTAGGGATAACTAATCAATAAATAATGGAATCCTCAACAATAAAATATCTTTTAGAACATTGAACATTCTCATCTATTACCTTGATACAATAGCCTATAAGGCTAATTAATGCAGTCATGAATTCCATATTGACAAGTATTAACATAAGTGAACTAAATATCTAATTATATTTCGACTTTACCTTACTGAATAATCTTTTCAGAATTTATAGGATGGGGTTTTGGGGTTTTGGGGTTTTGGGG